GAAGCATGTACCAGGTTGTTGTTGGACGTATGAAAAAGTGGTAGGGCGTCCGTCGGAGCTGCGTAGCTTCCTGCCGGCCGCCGTGTTGCTGAACCAGCAGCTTGGACCTTCGACATGCTCCGGCTACCGGGGACGCCGTTGTGCTTTTAAGAGGCGGCCTCTTCCTTCAAGATTCCATCTCCTCTTCCCTCCCTCCTCCTCTTCTTCTTCCTCCTCCTTCCACCTCGGAGAGGCTCGCCCCCTCTTGACGAGGAACACCATGTTGACGGAAGTGGTAGATGATCTGCTTGATCTTGTAATTTTGTCCTCCCTTCTGGAATGCCGGCCTGCCTCTTGACGTGGTGGATGATGAGCGCGCCGGCGTCCTCCAAGGATTGACTGTTCCTCCGTACGCCAGGGTCAGCTATGGCCGCGGGGGCTTCACTTTCTCCTCCAGACCCTGGCTCCTGTCGCTGCAGAAGGAAGCAACACAAAAGAAGTGGAAATGTTTTGTTTACATACAGATTCCTTTATTTTCATTTAATTGTTTTATTTGGGCCGGACAATGCACAGTGATGGAACACTTAAAACATTTAAAAATGTTTCCCAAGTGGTAAACCAGTGGCCAGATTTAGCTTTGAGCTATTTCTATCCCACGTCCCTCACATAAAACATTTAAAGTTTACATTTTACAAACATAGCAAAAACAAAAATACATGTATGGGCAAAAAAGTGCAAAAAACAAGGCAAGCAAATCCTTTAAATAATGTATGTCACTGTCGACTATATTGATATTGAAAAGTAGAATCATAAGAAACGTGGAAAAGTGGAACTTCTTACTAGACATTATGGTAAGAATTAAATTTGGTGACCAAAATAGATATTAAATGCAAAACACTGTTACCCAAATTCACCGAATGATACACTAACAAAAATATACTAATACAATTCTAATCGAAATCTGATCCAGGGTATATGCAGGGAATTTCCAAGATCTTCGATTAGGAATCTTTAAACTTAAAAGGTTTTTAAATTTGAACGTTCAATTTAGTCCAAATGTAACCTCTTTTTTAAGGACCCTTTCCATACATTTTAAGACCCTCAGCGCCACTTTTGGAGTTTAAACCGGTTACCTTGGCGACACCACTTTACCTCACATTGGACTATATACAGTATTGATTGGTCCTTCCTCCTTATCTTCCAACCCATTTGGAGGCAGACTTGCATTTCCCCATAACGATTGTTGTTTAACCAACCGGGTAAACGGACCTTTCGCGCGCTATCAAGCAGTGATGTGCGCGATGTCCTGTTCAGATGACGTCAAATCCAACGGTTGATGCCATAAATAAACTACACAGAAATCAACACTACACACCTACGCCATGGTTACATTCAGGCGCAGACTGTAGAAATACAACCTCTTTGGACAATTTATATACTTATTGGAAAACCAAGCTACAAAATTGTAATACCTTAGGGAAATGCCGTTTAATACTTTTTTAATAGCATTCATTTCGCTAATTGGATTTATTCAACTTTTAATACTTTTAAGACCCGCGACCCCCTGTGATCTTAGATAAGCCGGTTGAATCTGCACTTTAGACGCCAGAGAACATATGATTTTGGTGATGCTGAACTCTCCTGTTTATCATTATTAGAGATAGTTTGCGGAAGTTGTTTATGTTATATAAAAACATGACATTATTAAACAAAATGCTGACAAATCTGTTTCTATTTCATTTTTTTGTAATGCTTCTGAGGGCAGGGGTTCCCAAAGTGTGTGAAGGTGAGCCTCCCCTCAGGAGACATAATCACAGCCGGCGCCCCCTCCCAATTATTATTATTATTATTATTGTTGTTGTTGTTCTTATTATAATGCAGGGTATTCAATTGCATTTGAAAGAGGTCCAGTAAGAGAAAATGTCATAAAATGCTCATGTGTTTTCGCTACCTTTCTCTTTTTGCTTGAGCGTTCACCTCCTTAAAACATTAAACAATAGCTTTTTAAACCTCTTCTTTATCTTTGTTTTAAACATGTTGAGGTGAAGGATGGCAGCTTCCTCATACTTTGCTCTCGGAGAGAATAGTTGAGACGGAGATGTCTTTAGCAGCAGGGGAGTAAACGTTTCACCAATGTTTACCTCGCCTTAGCTATCCGTTTTCTGACAGACGCTGTCTCCTCTCTCACTTTAGTAACTTCACTACAATCTATCCATATTTTTGCCGCTCGCATACCATTTAGCTGACGTTAACTAGCTAGATTTCACTGTTTCTCTTTATTTTTTCTGGCGGCTGCGCCTCCCTTGATGCTCTCTGGCTTGCCCCAGGGGAGGCGCGCCTCACACTTTGGGAACCCCTGCTCTGAGGTATAGTAAAAGGAAACGCACCTCCATCATAAATGCTTTCCGATTTCATTCAGGCATGGACTTGGATCGAAGCACTTTGGGTGCGTTCTGTTTGAAGTTGACGCCCTGATGGTCGAGAACTTGAGTAAATACTTCTCGTTCTGCTCCCTTCCAGATCTTGATTGAAGCCTCGCTGAGGCTTCCCGCCACCCTCCTCCTTAGTCTTTAACCTGGTCAGAAAGGGAAGTTAAGTTATTAAACTCACACAATGAGTTGGAATTCATATTTTAAAGAAAGTATGCGTAGGAGTGCAGCTCCTTCAGCGATTAGGCTGCTGCATCCCCGCTGGTCTCACGGAGAGATTACCGCAGGTCTTTCCTTCCCTTCAGTGGTCAGGACCACTCACAACCAGCACAGCCCCTTTAGTTGAATCCCCCCCCCCCCACACACACACACACCCACAACACCATACTTATATCACCCCTTTGCTGCTAAATACCAACAAAACCTATGTGGCAATATATATAGAGCGTTAATAACTGTGTAATATAATTACCCTGGCCTGTCTAAATCCTAAGAATTTTACAGGATGTGTATTCTTTCAATTATGTAACCTTTTTTATTTTTCTCTTTTTAAATCTATTAAATCATAACTTATTACTTTCTTTTAACAAACTGCATTCACCCATATTTTAACACATGTAACATTAAGCTGTCTGTTGGCTCTTTTTCCTGCTGTAACTACGCAAATGTCCCCTCCGGTGGGGACTAATAAAGGGATTCTGTTTCTGATGAGTGTTGCTTTTGGTTTTCACATCATAACACGACTTCATCTGCTGCCAAACCAAATTCATTCAGGCATCAAAATAACCGCTGTGAGTCTTTTTTTAAACTCTATTCCAGGCATCGGGGAATGCAGCTTATAAAAAAAGGACACAATAAATCTCGGGAGCCATTTTAAATCCAGCATTTATATTGGCTTTTCCTTTATTGGCTCATAACCTCAGCCAGACCTCTTTAAGAAGCTGGTGTCAACACACAATATGTACACAAAGAACGTTGAAAGATAAGGTCTGACAACGTGTCCCTGAATACACCATACCTAAAACTCTAGGTTAACACTAGGAACTTGCCAACGGGTCACATTTTAGTCCAGTCCGTGTTTATGTAGCACCCTCTGTTGTTAAAAATTAATCAATTATGAAAGTCAGATTGAAAAATCGACTGAGAGAGAGAGATAAATATAGAGAGAGAGAGAGAAGAGAGAGTAGAGAGGAGAGAGAGCAGAAGAGGAGAGAGAGAGATAGGAGTAACATCTTGGGAGAATACAAGATCTTGGACGGACTGGAGCTCACGTTGAGGACGTAATGAAATGTGTGCAGGTTACGTGCCAGTTGGATATAAAGATGGGTACACCCGGAATGAGAGCAAGAGTCCGCGTCTGTCTGTTTACTGTGGACATTATATGTCCATAAACAGAACATTACAGATGGATGATAGATTAGTTATAGATAGATAGATAGAGAGATAGATTAGAGATAGGATGGATAGAGATTTGTACTAAACAAAACACAAGTCTAACACCAGCGTTTAAATCAGCACTGGTAGGATATGTTATACTTCATGCTATCTGCAAAACTATATCATATGGAAAAGCTGAGAGTCCACAGATTCTATTGGTATAAGTTTCATCCCTGTGTGTCACAACTCCACTGTTCTGTATGGATAAATAAAGAACATTGTAACTTGAAAATCAATAGCGGGTCAATTTGACCCGTCTGGCGGTTCATAGTGTTAAAGAACATTCGGTACGACTTTACAATAAAGATAGCCTATACGTGGTTTTCACGAATAGTTCTGTAATTAATTAGGTTGTGAACACTTTATAAATCATTAATAAGCTTTTTATAAGACATGAGATAAACAGTGGTGACTGTGACCGGTTGCTTTGCCAAATTAGTGAACCCATATTTATCTGTGCTGCTAAGCCTTATTAGAAATGGTAATAACCTCATTTCATAAATGGCAAATGTGTTTTACACTTTACAATAAGGTAATGAAACAAGTTTCTCACCTCCCCTCACCTTCCACTTTACAATAAGGCTCCCTTTTGGCAACTATAAATGTTAGCAACTCGTAAATAAATGGTCATAAAGAGATGCCAAGAAACATCAAGATGGATGGGGGGGAATGAACTCAGTGAACAACAGATACCAAGGATGCTGGCTGATGAAGAAGACAAAGTAAGCTAAGTAGCCAATATAAGGCTTAGTCATCTTGCCAAATAGTGAACCTGTGTGTCTATGTTAGAACTGATTTATAAATGGTTCTTAATGATTAATAAAGTGTTTACAACCTAATGAATAACCTAATTATAGACCCTTTATGAATCCTTTATAAAGGGTAGTCTTATTGTAAAGTGGTACCGAACATTCTATGTGTGCATATGCATAAATGTGTCTGTTGATTGTGTGTATATAGGATATACCTATTTTTTCCATATTGTATTTTTGTAATTGGGATTGTGGGAAACAGTATTTCGATCTCTCTGTCTGTACACACAAACTGAAAGATTGAAAATAAAGTTGACTTTGATTCTCTCAAAATAGCTTTTTCCACATATACAGATTGTTACAAAGGAAACTAAACATTAGTCAGGATAAGGTTCCCCCCCACCTCTTTAGCACGATGGGCACAGACACAGCCGGGTTCTTCTTCAGGCCATCCAGGATGTCGGGCGCCTTGTCTCCGTATATCCTCTGGATGGCTTTACGGTGCACGACCTCCGAGGAGCCGCCCATCGTGTTGTCCAATCGGAACTTGGCCTGCTCCTCCGCCGACATGCGGGACAACTTCCTCTGCACCGCCTCCAGCACTTTGATGGTGGCCAGGTTGGTCTCCAGCACTACGTCCAACTGTGGGGGAGAAAACACATTGCTGTGTGTTGCAGAGTGTGTTGCAAATCTAAATCTCTTCAGTCAAAATAATTTCCCCTTAGCACAATACCGCATCAGTTGCGCCACTTATGTGACAGACAAGAAGAGTATGTGACAGACAAGAATAGTCAATTCTAAGGTTGTCTAACAATTAATGTGGAGAAAGAGATGTCCTGTATGGGTTGATTGTGCGTTGATCTGTTGGTAATGCCTCGGGGTTCCGGTGGGCATGTAAACAAATGCATAATGCTGCGCTATACTTTGCGGCCTCGCCCGGTTGCATAGCGACGCTTATTGTTTAGGTGTCTTTTGATAAGCAGGTAGTCATAGCATTAGCTAGAACTAGCTAGATCTGATCGATATGGACATAAACGCGAGTGAAGTCTAATCTGTAGTCTAATTCTAACGGAAACTCTGGTGTGTTGATGTGCAGTCAGGAGGAGTTTTTAAATTCAAATGAAGTTACTGAAATGTTCCGACCATGTCTAAGTTACCCTATGTCTATCAAATAAAAACAGAAACATACATTTCCCTTTTTTACATTTAATTTCAATTTTAGAGCAGAATACTTTTTATATAGAGACACATAAAACTCGTATGGGTCACAAAGAGATTTAAGAAACTATAATAAATAATAATTGAATAATTTTTTTTGTTTAATATCGATGGCTATGTGTTGATGTGCAGTCAGGAGTTTCTCAATTCAAATCGAGTTACTTAAATGTTCCCACCATGTCTAAATGTTGTCTTATAGCCTGTCCCTGTCTATCAAATAAAAACAGAAACATACAGTACATCTCCATTTCATTTCAACAACATTTATTGTCCATTTTTTCTTTCCTAGAGACAGATACGTCTGTGACTGCATTGCTAGTACTGTTGTTTGAATCTTTTGATATTTGCAATGTTTTGCCATTTCCCCCCCACCTGTGGTGAGATCAACCGACAAGGTGTAAATATTTGATGTCCCAGCTCACCTCAAAGCGCTCGTCCTCACATCTGTAGATATTCTCCTCGTACTGAGTCTTCTTGGAGCTGACAAACGTGGAGTCCTCAGACCAGGAGGGGAAGGAGACCCAGGTGTCATTTAAGACCTGGACACGGCAGAAACAAACACTGTGTCATCTTAAAGGCCTCTTTATCATACGTGGGATGTGTTCAATTGTTTAATCACTAAGTTGGATAAGATTGATCAAGAAAAGACCATGGGAGTTTCAGTTTACCGGTCATAGAAGTAATAACAAAACGTGAGTCATACAAAAATATGGCATTTATAAATATTCCATATTTAACTCTTAACTATAAGTTTCCCTATCAACTGTTGCCGCTCTTACCTCTTTACAAAGTGGAGTTCTGCCGGTGCATTTGGGCTGCTGGTAGCTTTTGGGCAGAGCTCTGTAACTGGAGCCTAGTCTCTTACAGGAAGCATAATCGATCTCCATGGCGATGCCCTCGGTGGCCCGTTCCTTAGGGTACGCTTCGATGTGGGACATTTCCCGATATCCCAGGAAGTTTTTAAACCAGTTGAACAGCTCTGGGAATTTTCTGCACAACATAAAAAGGCAAAAAAAAAATGTATGACATATACTGTTGCAACAAATAGTCATTTTTCCAGGACTGATACTCACCCTAAAAAAGGCAGCACCAGCTGCACCAGTTCAGCCCTGGAGATCACCTCCTGGTTGAAGATGACCAGGCACCGCAGGAAGTTGTCGTAAGCCTCTGCACTTCGCAAGGCTTTGCGCACCTGAAGAGACAATTAAATATAACAACAGTATGTAACAGAGCCGAGTGGAGGTATATAACAAAAGCTAAATAACTTAGCAAAGCTTAACTGTTGTCATATTGAAAGGTTTTACCTCTTAAGCCCCAAGCCTGTTTTTCAGGCTTCCAAGGCACACAGGGGATAGGACCTTCCCAAGAACAAATGACATAACTTCACTTCTAAAAGGGGTAAATTAATAATCTTTTTTCTCAAAGCAATGATAAACCTGTGAGTTGGATGTAGAAGAGTCAGAATCAATATATCATTGTTTTATTGTAAAGTAAATTCCGATTGAACATAGTAAAACAATTTAAATTACAGTGTCCGTCCAAAAATAAACATTACTTATAGTGAAAACCACCCTTGAATGATGGGAATTTAGGCATCCAAACTATAAAATATAAGTACCCTGTATCAAGATTTATGCAAAACAAGTGACATTTGACCTTTTTAGAGAGATTTAGAAGAAAAAAAACACTTCCGTGGTCATTTGGGTGGATTTGACCTATCTCTGGCCCCCATTGGTCGATTTTGATGATTGACATCTCTTTTTAACCGTTAGAGCCAATGGAATCGAGGGGAAGTCCCACATACACGTTACCAAATAAGGAGTGAGAGTGACACGTAGCCAGAATACCCAAAACAGGAGGCTGTCAGACACTCTGGAAGCTATCATTAGCAGCTAATATGAAAAGTCTGTTTTTGACATAAAAATTGAATTATGGATTATCAAAAAAAAATTCAAAGTGACAGACACATTGGATTAACCTATGGATTAACCTTCAGCCGCGTTTCTCGCTTAATGCCATTGAACACAACTTTTGATCAGAATAACAGCTAAGGTGAGCATATCTCAGTTTTTTGCTGCCAAAAGCTACGTTGTGTGTTGTCTGGTTTTGCTTCCCCTGTCGCGAGTTCTGATCGCTCAGTGATGATACTTATATGTATGGAATCTGTGGAATCTCAGCTTGCTAGCAAAGCTTGTTTGTGCAGATCCGATAAGTATATAGATCTATTTATACCAAGAGTTCTGTGCCAAGTGCGTTAGCATTTTTCCGCTCAGGGCTTATTTAGACGCTTCTTGTGAGACTTGTGTTTTGTTTCGGTAAAAATGGTTCATACCGTCAGTTAGCTGAGTTTCTTCCCGTTTAGTGAGTATGACACATTCATATAGTTTATTACACTTTAAGAAGCTGTGAGACACAGTTTCGTGAAAAAAAAACGGGAAAAAAGCCCGTAGCCCCCGCTGACTGGCTTAACAGGTTCAATCTATATTAGTAAACTGTCAATTCTTGCCGATAGAAAACACCTCTCCGTCTCCCTTTTTCAAGCTTGTGCTTTATGTAAAATGCCATCTGCTCAACTTGCTATTTGCTTCCTTCCTTTACAACCTGAGTCAATATCCTATCATTTAATGACTGTTTACTTCACATAAACAAAATGATGAAACACAGCAAACACAAAAAAGCTCACCTTCTCAAAGAACAGAGATTCTGTCCCGACTCCATGCTTGCTGGCCTCTGCCACCGAGGAATCTTTCAAGTTCAGTAACTTGGGCTTTTTCTGTAGCGTTAGCAAAACAAAAAGCAAGAGGAAATCAGTACAATCATTACAAAAACAAAAAGGAAATAAAAAAACCAATAGAAGTGCACTATAGCTTCAGCAGGAGTTGAGGATGTACCTTGATAAGGGGGGTGGCCCCTGGAGTCGGGTGCCGGCGGATCGGGCAGCCGTTCTGATTGGGCCGCTGTTTGTTGTTGAGCTGCAGCTTCTTAGCAGTACCGCCATGGTCGTTCCGTACAGCCTCCGCCTTCTCAGCTGTAGTCTTACTTAACAGCTAGGGGGAATAACACACAACACTGTTAAAGACCAAGGTCCGTGTACATTCTCTCTTACACTCTGGAAAATCTATCTAAGGAGGAATATGGAGAGTTTAATTGGTACAAAAGCTCCAAGTAGGAAACCAGTGCCAGCGCATCTTCAGTGGAGTAAGAGGTAAAGTTCTCCGCTCACCACTGAGCTGTTGGCGTCGGGCAGGAATTGGCCAAACTCTGAGAGCAGGTCCTCTTGGTTCTTGAAGAGCCGGGCCACCTGAGCGTACACCTCCTGCTCCGTCAGCGCCGGGGTGTAGTTCCCACCGGCCTCCTTAGCGTTACGCTGCTCCTTCTGTAATGGAGGAACACAGGTTTAGTGGGATTGATTTACTCTTACTTTTGTAAGAACTGTTTGTTTGTGTGAAAGGTCCTGTATTTACAGATTTCCCGATTCGATCACGTGATCGGGGATCGGAGCCGATCACGTGATTTTCAAAAGATCGGAATCGGGAGAAAAAAAATCGGGGATCGGGATTTAAAAAAAAACAAAAAAACAAACATTTTTAAATACTTTTTTTTACATTTTGTATTCAATGTTACAAAACAAAAATGACCATGTTCAAGTCTTAAAGTCATCCTGAGGCCTTAGTTTTGGTTTCAAATTACACAACATCATGTATGTGTTGCTTCTTTGGGGCTTGTTTTCATAGACCTGGTTGCTTATTTCTCTCAAATCTGGCAACAGAGTGGGCGCAGTGTCTAATTGTAGCAGTAAGCTAACGAGTACTGAAAAGCTTTATTTTGTTTTGATCCAATGCTGAAAGAAAGAAGCTATATCCATGTTGGATAGAATATCCAATTTAAATAAAAAAATAACCTTAAGGGACAACTTGAATGCTTTTTTTTCCTCTTAATGCATTGCATAAAGATCGGATCGGGAAAAATCGGTATCGGCAAATTGTCAAAATCAAATGATCGGAATCGGATCGGGAGCAAAAAAAGGTGATCGGGACATCCCTAACCCCAACATTTCACAAAGGCAGAGCACACCAAACTTTTTTAACCATAAAAGTCGTCATATTCGAAGGAGAGTATTACGCATTGGGCGTGTTGTTTATTGGTCACGTCCATGGTGTGCAAAGGCCCTAAGGGTCTAATGATAATTCCTGTATCTTAATTTAAATGGTCTCTGCCAATACAGCAAGCTGGACAGGTTTTTTCAAGTCACTCATTTGAGGATATTCCCGATTATCCTGGATAATGGAAATTCACCATGTACAACAACTACAACTACTACTAGTCTTTTTATTGCCATCCTGGGTAAATCCTATATCGTCCAATCCCTAAACGCAACAAATGGGACTTTGAAACAAACAACTTCTACAGCGTTGTGTTAAAGGGTACTTCACTGGTGGCCCCTTACAGGAAGAGGAGAAGCACACGTGGGCTTCAGGGGACGGTTATAACTGTCTACTGGGGCCTCACGCTCACCTCTATTCACAGCAGGCTCTGCATTCAAAAGAGGCTCCACCCTGGAGGAAGGGCCCGCCTGCTCTTGCATGGCAGGTTCTGTATTCCCACTGCGTTGCCCTGCTCTCGTTTCTCTGTGACACAGCCAGTGGGGGAAACATGAGTCGGACAGCTCGGCCCTCGCCCCTCCACCGCTACTAACATGGCGCTGGGACACGTAACAAAGCATCCACCCAGCCTCAACAGAACCGAGTGTTGACTGATTGTCTGGAAAACACACACGGGCCCGCGCCAAAAGCAGAGGGCAACACCCGTCTGTTTCATGTTTGCTGTGAAGAAGTGGTTTGTCAGTGTTTTGAAGCCACAGGAGAAAACCACTTGAGTGCGATATGAAAGATGTTCCATTCCATACGATTGTTGGAGTTGCAGAAACCCCGTTTACGTCAGAATTACATGCAACAAAAAGCTTAATTAAAGCTGCCAGGTGCTGACACAGCAGTATTTCAAAACAGGGTCACATTTATTTTCACAGACCCCAGGCTCTACCACAGTAGTACAGTTGTACCTCATTGTGACCTTAAATATCTGGATACAAAGCCAGTGTTTCCCCTATATACAAACAGTGGCGGCTATATATTAAAACATTATTTTTCATTAAAATAATAATAAGTGGAGACCCTTTTTGATTGTTTGTTATGTGTATTTGTGTTACTGTATGTTCAATAAAAGGTGTATTTTGCTAAATCTTGAGACATTGCCACAGTATGTACTCGGCCTCAAGAGCCTTTCTTGTGCTGGCAGACACATAGAAACATATTGGCGGGGCGCACTTCGAACGCACAAAACAATTCCATGCGCTCCGTGCTCACATTTAGCTGGGCCTGCGTGCCTTAGCACCGCTGCTATGACTCCATGCTAGGGGAGACACTGAAAGCACTGTACATCTTTCTGTTCTCCTGCTGCCCGACAGTAAAGAGAGAATAATCAGCAGATAAATCAATAAATAATAGAATTGTTAATTGCAGCCATAATAATGACCAGTTAAAGTAGATATTTAAACCCCAGATTAACTCTGTATTAAACTACAAAAGCAAATAAAACCTCAGTTATGGTATCGTCTGGGCAATCAAACTAAACATGTACAACAACAACAACAACACACACAGCGAGTCAGTGTGAGAACACTCCTGTAAATTCCGATCTCTGGGTGAAAACAACACAGTCAATCTGCTTCAAACGTGTCCCAGGACCACTGCTGGCTGCGGGGCAGACGGGCCTTCTGCCAGGAATCCTCACACACTCTGAGCCTGAAGGGATGCTTCACATGACACACACACAAAGGACCTTCAGCTTGGAAAGGTCTCAGAAACAATGAATGAATGCCAGTATTAATGGGGGTAACGGTGTGAGATTGTCACAGCAGAACAACCATCTAAGAAAAACCAAGAGCGTTACACTATCATGTCATCAATTACAATAATCCCTAAAAAAAAGAATGAGAACCGAATTGTAATATTGAACAAAAAAGCAGAACTTTAGCATGTTATTTAATGTCATATATATATCTGGTAGGGACTCCGGTCTGTACCTTTAACTCACACTTGTGTCATTTTCTTTTTTTAAATATAGTAGATAACCGAAGGTACATGGTATGATAACCGCCACACTGTTCCAACCCTAGTCAGTATCAGCTCCTGTGAGACCAACATGTCAATGATCAAAGTATTATCTTGGCTCAGTTTGCTTGTAAAACTGCGGCCTGATTTCATAAAACTTGGTGAAAGGGTTTAACATGGGCCAAGAAAGAACCGACATTTTGGAGCAGACCCAAATCACGTGACAGATAGACAACTGTTGTTCTCTTCCGTTAGCATTGAGAAATTGGTAAATGTACCGTATTCACGTGGTGTCGGAATGTTGTCCCAAAATAAATCCCAGATTGAAAAATGCACGCCTCGGCTATCAGTGTGGTCCCTCTTAATAAATACATTCAACACATCTTCAATGTTGTTTTCATACAACCACTTGCTCATGAACACACTGAAGTCGGAAAATTACTTTGAATCTGATGGTAACAAACAATTGTCAAAACGTTGTGAAAACTCTCGTGGTATTTGCTGATGAACAACCTGTCCTAACATTAAATCATTGAATAAGCTTTTAAAATTTAGCAGGGTTACCATCTAGGCCAGGGGTGTCCAAACTACGGCCCGGGGGCCATTTTGAATTCAAAAAGTATAATAGAATATGGCCCACAAATTTAACTTGTGCTTGTCTTATATTGTACTTCTTAAATATACATGTTCAAATATCTTACACAGTAGTATTCATGTGCTAATAACACCACTTCAAATAAATGCATTCAATTCAAGTTGGAAACATTTTCTAACTTATCTTAGTTGATAAGAAAAAAGCCCTATAACTTATTTACAAGCTTGAAACACACCCTTTTCTATTTCCCCTTATTATAATCAATCTGAGGCTTCTGTTTTAAGGGATGAGCTGCCAACACTCACATCATTGACCTACATTTGATTGATTTTGCTAACTTATAACTGAACTTATGAGGTAATATACCTCTAGTGAGTGGTCCAGCCCTTCGTATATTTTTTTCTGTATGTGGCCCTCGGAGAAAAAAGTTTGAACACCCCTATAGGCAATATCCTATCAGAACCCATGACATTTATATAGACCAATAAGAAATTAGACATTTGTCAGAGAGCTTTACAGATTGTTAAACCTAGAAACTCCACAATAATTAATACGGAGGGCTCACTCTCCAACACAGACATACGTACAATAGATGTCGTATCTAAAACACACCATAACCAGTTCACAAGAATTTTACAATTTGAGGGTGACCATATAAACACGACCTGCTTATTGTAGATCAAGCACAGTTATCTAATATTCTTTGAATGATACGGCAATATTACTGCAGTTCTGAATATATTTTGTGATGGTGTGACTCTTCGAGAGCACCACCCACGAAAAAAGAACATCTGACTCAGCCAGGTTTTCATATATGACGTCGTTCAGTCGCCGTGTTTCAGGTGAACCGGGCGGCTGCAGCAGGTCAGGGCTGTTTGAGTAACCTGAATCAGAACAGGGTGGGATTCTCTTTCTTTTTCGTGGGAATAAGGCAAACTGGTTGGATGGAAACCCAGCAGAGAACAATGAGTCACAACCATGCGGTGGATTTCACAGCCAGGCTGTGCATTCCTGGCCGACAAAGGAATCCTGTACACAGCAGCACCCACACGGATACACTGAGCTCCATCTACGGTCGCCTGACCCTCTGCTTGTATTCACAGGCCCCAAAAACACCAGAGGCTAAATGAATACTCAAGAACTGGAAAAACAAAAACGCTGTACGGCTGTCGTGACGGTTTACACAGAGCAGTTATGTATATGCTGGATAATCTGAACACAGTGGGATCCTTCACTGATACATTACAGTTGAGCTGTAATATGGAACCAACTATGGCTAAAAGGGACCATTTACTATATGAATATGTTGTTATTGCAACTCAAAGACGAATTAAGTGTATTCTCGGGGTCCTTACCTACATTATTATTGTTGTTAAATCACAAAGACAGACCATCATGCTTCCTCAATAATAAATCCTCATTATCCTACGTTTGATATCCAATAAAACAACAATGGAGGACACATTTGAAGCAGCAGTGAGAGGAATTGATTTGAATTCACAAGACGAAGTAATAAATCAAACTACTTTAAAAGGATGAATAACAACATTAGCATAGGCCTCGGGTGAGCTACAATCCACTCAGTGATTTGCAATGTGTGACGTTGATGTTTACATGTTCATTAGGTTTATGACTAATCAACAGCTCTGCTATGGCAACAAATGATATGCT